TGGGGCTGGCACCGAGCCCAGGAGGGGACACGGGAGCAGGAGGGGGAGCCCCCATCTCACCTGGCAAGGTGCTGATCGATGTATTCCTGCAGCTCTGACACCTGCTCCTCTGCCACCACTGCCCGAGCCAGCAGCTGGCTTCTCTGCTGCTCCAGCTCCTCCTGGAGGGGCAAAAAACCACAGGGAAAACATGGAGATAATGTGGAGAAAATGTGGAGAAAACAGGGAGAAACCATGGGAGAAAACATGGGAAAAACAGGGAGAAAACATGGAGAAAATGAGAAGAAAATGAGGAGAAACCATGGAGAAAATGTGGAGAAAACATGGAGAAAACATGGAAAAAATGTGGAGAAAATAGGGGAGAAAACAAGGAGAAATCATCGAGAAAATGGGAAAACATGGAGAAAACAGAAAACATGGAGAAAATGTGGAGAAAACATGGAGAAAATGGACAAAATGTGGAGAAAACATGGATAAAATGGAGAAGACAGAAAATGAGGAGAAAACATGGAGAAAACTGAGAAAATGTGGAGGAAACAGGGAGATAACATGGGGAAAATGGAGATCTGTGAGGTGGGAGTGATGCTGCTCAGCCCCTCTCTGCTGGGTCAGTCTGCCCATCTGCCCATCCCTGCAGCCTCTCAGCCACAGCGTGTCCCTTTTTTGGCCCCAGAGATGCCCCCATTGCAGGTGCTCAGTTTGGCATCCCCAGGATGGTGGAAGGGAAGGGCACGATGTGAAGATCCTGCCCCAGCAGGAACCAGGCTGGGGAGGTGACTGAGATCCAGCCAGAACCACGGAATCACGGAATTGTGTAGGTTGGGAAAGCCCACGAGGATAACCAAGTCCAGGTGTTAACCCAGCACTGCCAAGGCCACCACTGACCCATGTCCCTAAGTGCCACAATGACACGGCTTTTAAATCCCCCCAGGGTTGGTCACTCCACCACTGCCCTGGGCAGCTGTACCAGTGCCTGACCACCTTTTCCATGAAGGAATTTTCCCAATATCCAACCTACCCCTCCCCTGGCCCAGCCTGAGGTCGTTTCCTCTCCTCCTGTCCCTGTTCCCTGGGAGCAGAGCCCGACCCCCCCGGCTGTCCCCTCCTGTCAGGGAGTTGTTCAGAGCCACAAGATCCCTCCGGAGCCTCCTTTGCTCCAGGCTGAGCCCCTTTCCCAGCTCCCTCAGCCACTCCTGGGGCTCCAGCCCCTTCCCCAGCTCTGTGCCCTTCCCTGGAGCTGCTCCAGCCCCTCAAGATCTTTCCTGTCATGAGGTGCCCAGAACTGACTCAGGGGCTGGACGTGTCCCAGCACTGCCATCTCAGGGGGACAATCAGCCCCAGAGATGAAGTGTGGGCTCTTTCCTTGAACAGCAGTGACAGCAGAGCCCTGAGATATCTCCAGCTGGGACCTGCTGGCATCTCTGGGTGGGCTGAGGCCAAAGGCCCAGCGAGGCTCCATGGAAAGGGATCCCCAGRGAATGGTCCCGGCCCCGAGGCTGCCACAGCTCCAGGAGCGTTTGGACAGCGCTGCCAGGGATGCACAGGGTGGGATTGATGGGGGGTCTGGGCAGGGACAGGGGTTGGACTGGATGATCCCTTCCCTTCCCTTCCCTTCCCTTCCCTTCCCTTCCCTTCCCTTCCCTTCCCTTCCCTT